TATTAGGAATGCCACACGTTGGAAGCAGGCGTAGAGTTACCAAATTTCATCAGATTCTTTTCACGCTGGTGATGTCTGCAGTTATGATATGGTGAGCGAGAGAGCATTATTTGGACGCATATTTTTAGAATAAAACGCATAATTTTTGCCGGTCAGTAATTGCAGTAAAGCAGAAACTTCCCAAAACTGATGGCCTGAGGATCAAATTGAGGGTCGATTTGAGATCAGATGCCTAAAGTGGAAATACTCAACGCCCACAGAATGGAATCATGGACTAGTGGAGGCGCGAAAGTGCATAAAGTGCGAAAATGTGAAGGGTTTCTGCAAGGTGAGTAAGCATACAACGAGTAGAGACCTGCGTGAGAGCACATGGTTAATTCGTTCTGATTATTTTGACATTTGAAACTTGCTACTGTTTCTTCCTAAGTAGTTTCAGTGTCTAACTGATTCGGTGGACTTCTGAATTTGTGCCACCTGTGTTGACTCAGCACTTCAGTACTCACCGTTCACGTAACACAACAATTATGAGAACAGAACCACAGAGCACGGGCACACACGCACTCACAAACGTGAACTTTCCCCTTGACCCATTTGGCCAGTTGATTTTGATGAATATATTTCTCTGTGGTAATAAAATAAGCCATATGGAATTACTCTGCGTGCAACATCACTTTTCATGACGGCTAACAAATTAACTCATGTCCCAGTAATATTTACATACTCCTTCCTGTCAAAAGGTGTAAATTTGGTCTGTGGTGGATGTAGCAATAACACAATAGCTGTCGAATTTAATGTTCACCTAGCCAGAGCAGTAAATCATGCTATCTAGGCTGAGTCAGAGTATTTGCCAGCACCGTGTTTCCCAAGGTGGTTATTAACGCTACGGTGTGTCAAGATGTCACTGAGGGTCAAAAGTCCATAAACCCAGTTTAAAAGCATTCACAAGTCTAAACTTAATGGAATTGCTCTAAACTCTGCACTAGACACAGAACCTCTTCTGTGCATTGTGTTAACCAATGAAATTGCTTTTTTTGCAATTGGTTATTCGTGACAAGAAGGCATAAAAGTGATTTGCTGTGCATTTGGTTCAGTAAAAAAGATGGAAATCAGATGCCCCACACTTTTAAAAATCGTTATATTTGTTTTTGGGTTTACTCTGATGATGAATTGGATTATTTTTAGAAATTCAATGAATCAAGGCAAAGTTAGGGAAATGCGCATATCGCCAAGGAAACCACAAATCAATCGATCTGTATGTAGTCAAGTAATTAATTGACTGAATTGGTTATCTGATCAAGTAAATAAGAGCGCTCGCGGCTGCCATCTTCTGTAAAAATTATACTGATTTGGTTTTTCTACTGGAAATAAGTATAATTAATGCAGCTGCATACTTAAATCTCCGATATCTTCCTACAATTATGTCACAGCTTAATACTTCTTGATTTCAGCTATATTATGTTGCAGGGTGGATTGTCAAGTGGCAAGGCTCCTTTCACAACAAGACAATCACAAACTAATCTGATTGCGTTTCATCATGTAATTGATCAACTGCAATGGCTATCTGATCTAGCAACCGACCAGGTACTTGTTGAAGCAGCTGCATTTGAATTGGAGGGATACCAACTGACACGTTCTGAGGAATTGCAAGGATTTGCTTTTTATTTCAATTTAACCTTAGTTTAATTAATGCAACTGTGCAATTGAATCCATGTTCTCGAATCTCTCTTAATGCTTGGGATTTTGAAAAATGCTATCCATGATATCTCTGGCCAATTAAATTGCACCTTAATGCATCGTGAATGTAGCTATTTACGTTGTAGAGCGGTTTGTCAGCTGGCAAAGCACCTGTGATATATTATGATCGACAACGACTTTCCTACACCATAGATCCGACTAAGTGCCGCTACAAGTGCATATTCAATAATGATAAAACACAATTGGACAAGGGGGATGTTGTGGTCTACACTGACAGATTTTCCGCCAGGGAAGCACGTCAACTAAAGGAAAAAGGGGTTCTTATCGTGTTCGAGTCAGGTGAAAGCCCCTGGCACATGTCGTTTCTGGACCCTTCTCAATTGAGTGAAGTAAGTGCGCTCTCTGGACAAAAGTGCGTTCATACCCTGAGTACGTTTAATAAGGCTGTTCCTGGTCAGAACTGAAGAGGCTGCGATGATTACTATTTAATACTTAGAGGCACAATCTTACCCACTAAAACTTGACTTTATCAGGCATTCATGGTATTTATTTGCCTCTCATTCAGATGTCAGAACTCTGTGTCTGTGATAAAATTTCATAAATCATACCTCGGCATATAGGCAGTCATTTGAATGCATCTGATTGTGTCATACAGTTGTCTTCTGAAAACAGAATTCTTCGTGTGTCTATGCACTAACCAGACACACTCATTTCAGAGGAAGACCGTACATGCGGTCATTCTCATGTTCCCACCAGATAAATACCGACCAAACTACGAGTTTGTCAAAGCACTACTTAGACCATCTTGTTTAATACATTAGGTTCGTGGTAAAGTGTTATTGAATTTATTGATATTTTATAGGTCGACATGTTTAACACTTATCAGGCAACTTCACCTGTACCATATGTATATCCCATGTTCGTCCGCAACACAAAACCCAAATTGAAATTCACCGACGAAGAGAAAGCTGCGATGCTGGCAAAAGACAACACTTACCTGCTGCCTCACTATCACAAGCAGAGAACAAAATTAATCGCCTGGGTGGTCTCCAATCATTCGCCACGAAACAACAGAAAGGAGTACGCAGCGGCAATTTCAAAATTCATTCCAGTAAGCTGCATTATCCATGTTATCGTTTAATGCAGTGCTCTTGACGTATTGACTCGTCCTTTTGCAAAATTGTCTAATTGCGCCAACTACCTCATATCATCATAACAACCGTTAATTCAAAAGGTTGAAAATAATTTAGCAACACAGGAAATGTGGAGTGATGCGTTTGCTCGACTGTGTACATTCACCGAAGTAACACATTCAGCCTTCATCGTGTGAGTCGGGTGAGTCAAAACGGCGATCGTAATTGGTGTGGTAATTACGAATTCACACTTTTAATTGCAGGTGGACATATACGGACGGCAAGGCAAGCGGTTTCCACCTGGTCATGATGGATTTAAATGGCTTTCCGAAAACTACAAGTTCTACTTGGCTTTCGAAAATTCCAATTGCAAATATTACATAACGGAGAAAGCTACAGTAAATGCTCTCAAGTGCGTTACCCTGCATAGCTCTATTTAATTACTAGAGCCGGTCTGTTTGGTCAGTTGCTAGAAAATTTAAGGGTAGATTTGAGGCAAACGAAGCTATGCGAAAGTACTTTTACAAATTAACTTTGCATTCTTGCATGCGAATTTGAAGGTGCATTAAAATTTTGAACTTTCACGTCAGTAATACTTACAAATATGAACATTCGTATTGTCAATTGTAACTCAAGTGTGGCACACTGTGTTCGGGAACAGTCCTTTTAAATGCATCGATTTTGAACCGAAAGGCTGATATAAGTGAAAGGTTGATGCGACAGACGCGTGTTCTTTTGATTAACACATATCAAGAAGTTACAAAATGTCCGAATTACGAAAGAAGAGGAAATGGTGGCTGCTGATTTGTCTAAGAAATGGTAGGCACGATATCAAGCACATTGTATATTATTATTAATGTAGCAGAATAATGTATATATTTAGGTTGACTCAAAATTCAAGGTTTGAACCATGAAATTGGGTTAATTTTGACAGTTTCGACATAGTTCCCATTGTCCTCGGAGCTTACAAGGCAGACTACGAAGATACTCTACCGCCTCACTCCTACATCAACGTGGATGACTTCAAGTCCATTCGCGATTTGACTGACTACCTGCTCTACTTGGACAGAAATGACACCGCCTACGCAGAGTACTTTGCCTGGAAGGAACACGGCAAAATCTACGTAAGATTTGCCTTTCAATAACTCGTGAATTCGCAATTTGCAAATTACTTCTGCTCAATGAGTTTGCAAAAATGAGACACGCTAACATATCTGGATGAGTTGTGGCAGTGTTACATTTGCTCGTAACAAAGAAAAACCCACTCGCATACACGGTACCGGATCCCTTGTCTGACGCTAGAACAACCCATCTCAAGCTAATTCAAGACAGGACCAGAGCTCGTGCAGAGAGCTTTAATCGTCTCAGCCGAATGCGAGGGATCTGTCCGAATGTCAGCATTTATGATAGTCAGGAGTGGCCTTGACTTGATGGATGCAAGCGGATTAACACAGATGTGGTTGTCAAGTGGGATGTTGACGTGGCGTGGTTAAGGGATTAGTGTGAACGGCGATGAGGCATCTTGTGGAATTCTGGACCCCTAACAGGTAGAATAACAGGCAATGCAACGTAAGCCCACTACTTCCCATTTTCCAGAGTAACCTCAAAAAGAAATAATTGGTTGTAATGACATCGCGACGATGGCAGGCAGAAAGTAAGGATGTGAGTGTAGGAATGCGGTGTGGTTCTATGTCCAGCAACTAAATAACGCAGTTCTTTGCTTTGCTACATCCATTGTCGCTAATGGAAAATATGAATTGATGGAGGGCAAAACAACAGCCATAGGTAAAAATATTCTCAAAGTCAGTAAGAAGCGAACTTAGTCGACGTACGCCTCATGGCTTTGTAGACAATAACCAGATTGGATTGTCGGCTTTGTGGCTTCGTGTACCAGCTGAACGAAGGCAAGGTCAAACTCGAGCCTCCAGATTTCCGCAAATTCGTTGATCCACAAAGACTCTGCTTCGAACGACCGCTGTTGCCGCTGCAGTGAATCCGCGGAATGGACTTTATCGCCTCCTACTGTCTTGGACACCTACACTGATACTCCTATTTTGCTAATCTCAGATTTTTTTATGCTGTTAAACAAAAAATATGCGTCAACTGGCTCCAAGTGATAATTTACACGTCTTGTCGGCTGATTCATCTTTCGTGTTTTAACAGACTGCTTATGCACAGATTCGTCACCATGCAGTGCACTTATTACCTTTGAAATAATCGCCTGAAATTGTACTTCTTTCAATAGTTGTTGTTGTGCAAACATGGTAGCCTTCGACAACACTGGACAATAATGCTGAAACTAACTTGAAAAAATGGTAGGTAGGTAAAAGCAACATACAAGGACGAAATGCAGCTTCTCTGGTCAACAACAATAATGCAATACAAAAGCTAGAGTTTGGAATTCAGACGAATATATTACAAAGCTATCGTATTTGGCAAACAGATACACCACCGGTAGCATTAAGTGTGTTGCAAGTATCAGTGGATCACTTAAAATTCCCATCACTCATGTCAACGAAAAACTGATATGGCCAGACATCCTCATGTTAGTCCACTTAATTGTTCTCCACCTAAAGTGGTTTAAGATGCGTGAAGGCGATTGCATAAATGTGCTCCACAACTAGTCAACTTTAAGTAATTCTGCAATGCTCGACCACTTAACACGTGTAAGAAAGGGTAACACATATCGGCAGTGTTATGTTGAATTTTAGTCAAATTCAATGCGGCATTGCGTTTTTCCAGTTGAGCACCTTCTTTATTCTGGCAACACGCTTTACACTCTGCAAATTCGCCTTGTGATTCTCTTGAGTACCATCAGGTTTAATGGACCATAAATCGATGATCAGGGTGTTACTCAAGAACTCTTCACACGACTATGTCGGTGCAATCACGCATTAAGCAAATGCCTCCGACGTACCAAATGTAGATTGCTGTTTAGCGTGATTTTATTTCTTTTTATGTGTGATTAGATTTGCTGTTTAGATTTAATACCAGGCGCTGTTGGTGGATTGCCGATCACCATCATTATATCTGCTATGTCATCATGAATGAGGCTGTTGCAGTCTTTCTTGTCAGGTGTTGCGTCAGGTGATCAGTCAGAAAAAATAGCACATCGCAGCAAAATTACAGATCATGAGCTAACACACTAGGTCACTCCTGTGAGATTTTGTAGGTCGATTTGACACTGAGAGCACAGATGTGTACCTCCTGCTGTAGCGGAAGCTCCACCCGTGGCTTGTGCCGATGCATGACTTCAAGTTGCTGAATTCACTACGATGCATTTATTCTTTTAAGGCAAAGCGCCTTTGTTGATACTGCTAAAACATCCTGACTAACACAACGTGCAGCTGCACTTTTCACAATTAATGCAATTTTGAATGACCACTTTGACTTCAGTGCCAATTCCTGCTTTCATGCGCATTAGACAAGTGGAAACTAATCATTGCTTGTAAGAATAACGATGTGAGGTACAGCGCTCAATGGCATTTTCACAAAAGCGCTAAGCAGCGCCAGATCTCAAGTGGTCATGGCGATCACACCAGTCAAATCGACAGCGTGCGAGTTGAAAGTCAAGTGAGACAGGATTTATGCGATGATTCACATTTGCAAGTCAAAGGAAGAATAGCTTGTGTTGGCAGTCGAAATAATGCATCACATTTCATTAACAAGTAAATTCTAGAGCATATTCTGTGAGTGGTTCGTTGCCGCAACTTGCAACCCATTGAATATTTCCTAGTCAAATTTGTGTGAGATCTTCATGTGACTCCATGCTACTTCGATGCGCAATTTGTGTGACCATCACAGAAAAAAGGTACTCTTGAGATTTGCATCAATCGAATCTAAGAATGCTTTAATTATTCGTTGAGGGATGCGAGCACATGAAAAGCTGTGATACTTCAAAATCAATCAAAGCGATCCATGGTGAGGTTCTTGGTTTAGCATGACAGGTGTCACCACAGCCCGCATCTCATTCCTCGTCCAATATTCATTCAATCCTAATGCAATCCCTCGCATTTTGTTTGACCAGTACTGAAGGAGGATGACATTTTCATTGGCATCGTATGAATCTGAGTGGATTTTGAATGGCCTTCTAGGATTGGGAGCAGTGACCATCAAGTGGTTGTGTCAATGAACAATGAATATGGCAGCACCAAAGCGAGTCTCAACTTCGCTGTATGCTTTAAGCTGGTTCATCCAAATTCATAAACACGAAAACTTAGATGTCGCGTGTAGTGTAGTGTGGCGACAGATAAGGGCGCAGACTTAATGTACTACGCTGGTCTCAGCCAGTCCCGTGTCTCTGCGTTCCAGTGGCATGCGAGGCAGATAAGCAGCCAGCCGAAGAAGGACACGAATGAGGTGCAGTATATAATGAGCGACGTGGCCAGCGTGGCGGACTCGGATGGACGGCGCCTGATGTGTGGTTCTGGCTTGTGATTGGTCAATAAAGCTTGTTCTGTTGTACCAGTCTTCTTCCTATTAGGCCTCGTTTATTCTACACATGGTTGTTTAATCTGAATCGTCCATTTCAGCACCAAATTCTTTCGAATTACATCCGGTGGCAAGTAGCACCCGAACACCTGAGTCAACAGTATTCCTGGTTTTGGGGCTAAATTTGCTTTATTGAACAAAGCTGACTAACTTACCAGTGTTATGCGTATGAGATGATACCAAGATATGGCATTATTGGGGATCCGGGATTCCCCCTTGATGGCTCATTGTCAGTATTCCTCCTCTAACCATGTTACGTCAGCGGGTGAGTCATCCACGGCTCCCTTCTGAGAGCATATCTCTGTTACTCCGTTTTCATCCATCAGGTCAAGGTCATAAATGTTGACATCATAGCAGATCGCTCGGCCTTTGCTGAGGCATTAATAGCTCCCTGCATTACGTTCTGCCTTGTTCTGCATTAGCCTGAGAAGGTGGGGATCTAGCGTCTTATAAGGGATCTGGTAACCGCTTACATGGGTGTGTGTGTAGTCTTGTTTGCGGGCAAAACCTAATAGACATGAGTCGCAGTTGAGATTTGTTGATAAGACTATGAAAGTAACTCCGTTTGTGGTGGTAGTGTAACGTATGCAAACAACGCACAATATCCGTTTGGTTTCTAATGCACCGATCTCGATTAGGTGTAGGTGGTATCATATTTCGAAACTGTGTGGTAACACTAATGAAACGCTTAAATTTTTTCCAAAATTACTGCTTTTTTTCAGAAAATACATTTTCAGCCATTATTAAGACTCCTAGAAGATAGTGAGGACTTAACCACCCTAAGATTTTGCCTTTTTGTCTAGGCTAATAAAGCAAGTATATATAATGGGAGGTACTCTTTTTTCACAAAGAATTTAAGTGCTTACACAAATTTTCAAACAAATTCGACTTAAGATTTGAGCACGTTTTTCACTAAGACTGAGAAATGTAAAAGCACGCCTCGAAATTATGTTTGAGTTGCACAATATGTGTACAAATATACTTTGGGGTTTGCAAATTCTGTTCGTCCATTTCAGCACCAAATTCCTTTTGAATTGCATTCTGTGGTAATTCTTATGGTTTTGGGGCTAAATTTGCTTTATTGAACAAAGCTGACTAACTTACCAGTGTTATGCTTATGAGATGATAACAAGATTTGGCATAATTGGGGATCCGGGATCCCACAAGTTGGCACATCGTTGGTTTTCGGTCTTGTTTACACTAATCCCCTAACCATGTTACGTCAGCGGGTGAGTCATCCACGGCGCCCTGCTGACAACCCTGTCTCTGTTACTCCGTTTTCATCCATCAGGTGAAGGTCACCCTTGACTTACATAAATGTTGACATTCTAACAGATCACTCGGCCTTTGGCTGAGGCCTTAATAGCTCTCTGCACAAGGCCTTGCCATGTTTTGTATTTGCGTGAGAAGGTGGGTGGAAAATAAACGCAGTCCTTCGTTTAGGCAAATAGCCGCTTAGCAAGTGTTCATTTGGTCTTTCACGTGGGGAATTTGTGTATCGATTTGAAAGAAACCTCTTGATGTATTTGCTGTGTGAAGAAATCAATGCTTGTGGTTCAGTTGACATCAGTCTGCACCTTCATTAGCAATGCCTAAGCCCTCACTTTGTTCGATTGAAGTCGATCTTCAGACAAAAGTTGCCTGTTCATCTGATTCAACACCTTTTTTAACCACTGCCTTTCTAAAATCAATTGTGTTTGTCCCCGCAAGTCTGTAGAACAAACAAGTTAGCAGCCATTGGCCGAATTCTGATACCCTGTGCACCCCAACTATGCTTTGTCTTGAGTTGGAACATTACTTGATCGCGTTTGAAGCCTTGGTCACACTTCATGTTGGTGAAGAAGCACGGGATTATTTTGTTAAGACACAAACTACTGCACCCAATACAGTAACTATATAAATTACGCAACGCGACTTGAAGGAGTTCCGAGAATGACTGGAGGGACAGACTGCTAAATTTCTACTACTGAAGAAATCGCGTATGTTAGATTAGTGTTCCCAACGAGTTAGGAGTCCATCTAGAGCTCATTAGTTGCAAATTCGTTTATAGCCTACAGTGAGTCAAAGAAAAGCTAATGCAATATCATTGGTTAACGTAGCACAACGAAGAGTACCAATGTTTCACGGAAAAAAACGTGTTCCCAAATGTAGTTCCTTTCATGCTTTACTTAGAAATATCTCATCAAGGATGTTTACCATGCGTTAGTATGGTCAGATGAACTTGAAGTGGGTAAATTAGTCAGCGTCGTTTTAGCATGCGAAATTCTTGACCCAAAACCACGACGCACTCAATTCGTTCTACGACGCGCACGAGTATCATTCCACACACGCATTCCACATTTGACTTACAACTCACACGTTGCCGATTTGACTGGTGTGTTTGCCAAAATCACTTGAAAACTGTCGATGGTTCTGTGCTTTAGTAAGAATAACTGACTTTGTGAATCATACAAGCAGTGGTTAAGCGTAATTTCTACTATTCACATGAAGAGCTGAACTGGG